CTCATCATCAGACAAGCTGCGGACTTCCACTCTGAGGTGGGGCTCTGCCAGTCCGCAGACCCTGCAGGGTGGGCGAGTCCGCGGCTCGGGGGCTCAGATGGTGCACTTCGGGCAACTGAGGTCCTGGTTGAGGGGCGAGCAAGCATCTTGGGTGTTGGACATGACGGGAAACAAAAAAACACTACTGGGACGAGTTGGCAAGTTCCAACGCAGTACTCCGGTACTAAAGGAAACGGACAATGTGCTAAGAAACTTACCGTACATTCTCAGACCAGAAAAGAGTTGCTATAAAATACAAAACAGAATGCTATCATCAAGTTTATAGACACCTGCTGGTGGTCCTACCACACCTCAGGAGAATCATCTGATTTCGGTGCCGGCCACTTCGACTGGAATGTCAATCTCATCATCATCGTCATCATCATAGGACTGCCGAGGAGCCACATCGGCCTCCAACTTGAGTGTCCGAGAAATGATACTATCTGGCCCTCTTACAGTGTCAACCCACTCTAAGGCCATCTTATTGTAGGATGCCACCTGATAGGAGACCTTGGATCGTCACTGATAGCCCAGCTCCATAGCAGTCTTATGAAAATGTAACACATTACAGAGTGTTCAATAACCAACTAGGACGACGTCTATGCTGCTAGAATTAAAAAAGTAAAACTTCAATTACAGATCAAGATAAACACCATCACCCACGAGAGCTGCTGCTGGAGAGGATCCTCAGCCGACATCTGGTCCCGGGTAATAGTACCTTTCTCTGTATGAACTCGGGGACCTCATACACTGCAGCGTTGCATTTAGCGATCCACTCGAAGTCCAGGGCGCTAGCAGCCTCCAACTGGAGTGCTTCCACTGGCAGTTTCGTATTCGTCTTGCCCTTTTGAGAATTCAACTTGCCCTCTAGTTTCCGCGCCGTACGCCGTAGATCTTCTATCTGGACCAGAGAAGCTTCCATCGCTCGACAGTCTGCTAGCTCATCCTGGACGCCTTGAATAAGCATACCCAGATGAGTGTCGGCACCCAAAAGACCAGGCTCCCCTTTGCAGCCCATCAAAGCGGCCGATAGACCCACACGGTTAAAGGTATCCGGATGCCTGTTCACGACTCCAGCACCGACTGGTGTCGTGAGTAACTGACAGACTACACGTATAGACGACCACCGGCAACTCTCCGTCTCACATCAACTCGTCTGCCCTGGTTATCCTTTATTTCCTCGGACTCCGAAGCAGCATCAGCGAGAGCCTGAAAGTCTCCACGATACGCTTCCACACTACACTGGCGCTTACCTTGGTTGCAGCCTTCAGTTTGGCATCCGCACGCTCCATATTGCGTAGGAGCTTCTTAAGAGCGGCAGAATGCTCTTTCAAGAATGCCCTTGCCGCCCCCAGTCGATCCTCCACCCCCTCATTCCTCGCGATATCCCTCTCAGGATCGAACTCTGGCAGTTCACGATCAGGGAAGGAGTCCCGATACTGCCGACAGAGCTGTGTAACGCCTCTCGTGGCGAACTCCTTCTTCGCGGCCTGCTCCCACTGATGACCATCATGTCGTAGGAAAGTGAGGAACACTTGGGAGCGGCCGATATTCGACCGTTGCGTGCAGCGCTGGATGAATTTCGAGAGCACCATAGATTCAGAGTCGGCCTTGGTCTTTCCCATGGCGCAATAGGTGGTCTTATCAGCCAGCGGAGGGAGGAAGGCTGCCGGGAATGACCGGGCCAGCTCTCGTCGGAGCAGCTTGCAGTCCCCATAGGACTTTCGGCTAGAGTACTCCACCCCTGCAGGATCGATAACCTAGAACACACTGTAACGAGCTAGAGGTACGCAGTAGTATCACCATAAGAGTCCACACATACTTCTTACGGAAGGTCGCCTGGTTCTTAGGGTTACTAAACGATACCGACCAACTCCTCATGTCGCCGTTCTCATCATACCTGCTCACTAGAGTGCCAAAGTCTTATTAGGGCCAGCTCATGCTTCTACTACTCTCTGTAAGAATTTGGTAGGATGAAACGCTTCCTCGACAGACTAGCTCGTTTCGGAGAGGCGCTCGTGCTCCCCGTAAGTGGTGACGAACTCATGTTGCGGGAACTTACTCGCATACACAGCAAAGACTGTGGGCGCCAATACTGATTCCAGAAACACTGTGAGCCCTACTCTTCCCACTCAAATCCAATACGGTGAAGAGGCAGACTACTTTGGAGCTTCCTACAATGACAAGACCCTTCTACCGTCATAACTTCATTAAAATGGGATCAATTAACATAGGCTTCATACATATGATATCCTATCTCCACCTGGACGCACAGGTCCTTGGTACCCCACTGTGGCCTGGGATCTTGGATTCGGGCCAGCGCTGGGTTGATTGAAATCCGGCGAGTAAGCCGGCGGTTGAGTTGAATGCCTTACGGGTGCCATCTCATACTCCTCTAAAGGACGAGCATCTGTCTTATACATAGGGACCTCGCGACCATCCTTCATATCGTCTTTAAGAACCATGTAAACTGAGTGCTCGAACCGGCCTTGGTAGACATCCGCATCAGCTTCGATAGCGAAGCAAAAGAATATAGTGTCGATACAGGATAACATGACATCGGCCAGGAAATGGAAGAAGGAGTAGCAGACAGAACCAATGAAAAGGGCCCCAGTGACGGAGTTGACAGCCTGTTGGGCATGTACTTGGTTACTCGTGTTACAACCGTCCTTACCACATGTCCAAATATGCAAGGTCGGTGCTAGCCACGATATTAAGACGATAGTGATCACTGGACAGGATATTAATCCTGCAAAGAGTAGAAGCACTGGAATTAGGAGATACCAATTGAGCTCAGTGAGAGTCTGGTAGCCCTGTGCCTCGTCCAACCACACCCATGCTGCTATCCCTATACCGAGGGAGAAGACGTATGTACAGATAGACAACTGGAAGCACAAGGCGATAAGGATTAGTACCATTTATGATGCTACTCACCATCGAGTGCCCTACGCCATCAGTGATGAAAGCCGAACCAAGACGGTCTTTGACGAGACTGAAAGATTCCTTCCCGCACCGCACAGCCCCTTGCCCGAGAGACCTGAAAGTTGATCCAATGAG